ATTGTCCAGTCACCAAACCCTTTTGCTTTTTTTTTTCTGCTTAGTTTGCGGGATTCGGATATGTGAGCACTGGGGGGGGTATAACTATCTTATTGCTAACATCTCCTTTTTTGATAACTTTTTTGGTAAATAAACATGTTTGTTGTCGTTATTTTTTGTGTATTCACTGTATTGTATTGAACAAAATGGTTATGCGCCCGCACTCGTCATTCTCTCAGTTATCTGGCCCACTGTGAAAAATGGTTTGGTGACCCCTGATCTACATCATTGATGGAAATCAAAAAGAGCAAATATGCCAAATCCACACCTATACCCTCATTTATGTAAGCAATAACTTCTTTACACCCCTACCAATTATCATTAACATAAATAAGAAAAGCAAAGATGCAATCACTAATCCCTGAAATACTCCACTTGGAATAAGGGTCCAGTTTGTCTGGACTCCATTAATAACAATCATTTGCTTTCTTACATCTAACTGCTCTACAATCCAATCAACTAGTCTTTCCTCAACCCATACCATTGTGATTTTCTTAGCTAATTCTTATCAAAAGCTCCTGGAAAAGTTACTAATACACAAAGTCAACAGCTTTTGTCCTTGAGGAAAGACAACAGTTTAGTAAGGCCAGCTCAATAATATTAAAGAATACTGTTTTGTACAAATCCACACTACAACAAAGAAAATTCAATTATATAAGGTTTGATGTTCCTTTATATGATTCTGTTTCATTGAATATAAAAAAATAAAACTTAAAAATATTTATTGCATGTTATTGAGTAAACTTCTGCATACCACAAGTAAATAATAATACAGGTATAATCAACATATTTAAGAATACTTCATATAAATTCAAGTAAAATCAAAATTTCCATCACAGAATATACCTTTTTATATAGTGCTTTAGAAATGCATTCAACAGATTTTTCCCACTTCTACTTACGGTATCTGCAAAAGAACAAAGAAGTTAAGAAAAAAAATGGATTTATTTCATATTGAAATAATAAGCTTACAAAATGATGATACGTTATGAAACAAAAAAAAAAATTCCTTTAAGACCACATCACTTTCATTTTGTGAAGTTTATACCATTATGTAACTCCATTTTGCTTTACTTTTCTCTTATCAGTGAGTACCATTTTTTCAAAAAACAAGAATTATTAAATAAACTCTTTACCAAACAAATTCTAGATTACATAAGCAAACTTTCTCATTTATTTAGTTATTGATTTTAAATAGTATAAAACTTCAATACATGCAAAAAACTAAATCTAATATTATTTACTTCTGACATGGTGGAATGGGACATTTTGTCTTTTCAGTTTGCTGAATAACCTTTCATTTCCTCAATTCTTTTGATGTACCATCTTTTACCAAATTTATCATATCTCTCACCAAAAATTAATTTTGGCAAAAAGCAAGTCTGGACTTGAGCTTCCACATCTTTATACTTTTTTTCCCTAATATTCAAGTTTAGATCTCCAACCTTTTACGTACCCACTCAAACATACAATAATTTAGAGGGGGGGGGGGTACAATTTGTAATAATTTAGTCTTAGTCTGTTAGTAAGTAGTTGTGATAAAATGAAACAACAAGATGCAAAGACATGCAGGAAACTTTGATTTTATAGGGTAAACATTTTGTTGTTTTGTATAAAATTATTGACATCTATCTTTTAGAATATTGTGCTCAATCATGTTCTATCTATTACAGAAAATATTTATCAATATAATCCCAAATTTAAAATATACGAGTAAGAGTTTGGAATTAAGCACTCAAAATTATTCTTTTC